ACAACAAAACAGCGCGTACTGTAGCTTGATAAACGCGTCCCTTCACATTCAGAGATAAACCATTCCGACTCCATAGGGGTCTCAAGTTAGCAAACGCGGTCCGAGCCTTGCAGATTCGTGCATTCACCTCACCTGTCACACTACAATCAGAACTAATACAACTTTCAAGATACGTAAAACGCTCCACAACTTCCAGTACCTCTCCCTGGATTGTAAAAGTCATGTTCAGTGACTGCACGTCCACGAGCATGACTTCACACGTTGTGGGTGCAAAGTGCATACGAAGGATGGGATAACTTTGTTCGGTTCGTCCAAAAACACCTGTGCCTTCTCCTCGTCTTTAAAGATGAGAACGATGTTACCTGCGCACTCCAGATCAACATTTTTTTACAGCCAAGTTAAACACCAGCGTTCGTCACATTATTTCATCGATGTCGAAGTTAAGAAGGAATGGTGTGTGTGAGAATCCTCGACGGACACCGTTTTGTATACGGAAGCTTTTGGAGAGCCCTCCGTATACTCTCAGACGTCTGGCGGTTCGAGAATAAAAAAGTTTTACGTTCACAAACTTCTGGGACGTTCCTTGGTAGGCAAGCGTGTCGAAAAAACAGACTGATCAATCGAGTCGAATGCGCCTCGGAAACCAAGGAATACTAGATTTGTGGGTCGCTTATACGTATGGCGTTTTTCTAGCACCTGACGGAGTGTGCACCTTTGGTCAACCCAATCCCTACAAGGCCGGAATCCCACTTGCTCCTCTCGAATCCGTATCTTACGAGCCACCGTAAGGCGACGAAGCAAAATTGACGCCAGCAGTCTCGTTACGACCGGGGTCAGGCCGACCCCCCTGTGGTTACCACACTCACTACCAGCCCCTTTTTGAAAATGGGCACTATCACCGAATCTCTCCAGCTGTCTGGGACAGACTCCTTTTCCCAAATACAGGCAAACATATTGGACAAGCTCTGACTAAGGTTTTCACCCCTGTCCTTGAACAATGTGGGTGGGAGGTCTTCCGGACTAGGAGCTCGGTTGCTTTTGAGAGAACATACCCAGTCGTAAATCTCCATGCCTCCAAGGAAATTTTCAGAGAATGTGGTCGTTTAATTATGCTAGCGAGCGTATTCGGTCGGTTTTTTCACACGACACGGTGATGCACAGCGTTCTTACCAATTTAAGTCAGATGCTTACTAGACACTGACTACTAGGCGAAGAGTCGCATGTTAACCATTAAATTCCATGAATAAACGTGCATTTACCAGAGATCTAGGTGCGCATTCTTGTTGCCTTACCATATCTAGCCTATAAAAAAAGTAAAATCACTCTCAGTAAACTAATCATCAGTTTGTTCCCAACACTTACACCTGTGTTGCTCATTTGTATATGGTCTGGTCAAATGATTGGTCAGGTTGATATTATCAGTATACGATGCGTTAAAGCAAGCGGTGCAATAAAATTTCTTCTTCCATAGTGTCACTCTCATTCCTGGCGTGAAAATTTTTCTAGGCACTTGAGGAACCACATTAGATGCAGTACTTGCACGCGTAACAGCAAAAACATGTCTGATGAAAAGTTTTGTCGAAAACTGACACTGAGTTTTCGTTAACGTAGCAGCCGCATGAAGCACATCGATTTCTTAATGTGGATCCAATGTCTTCTTTACAGTAAAGCAAACCGTTTTCTTGATAATAATCAAGTCTTCCTAGGTGTGTCCGGCAGACTGATTTAATCTACATTAGGTTGATAACCTTACCAGTACATGTGAAACAGCCATAATGATACAAGCCATTTTTGGTTCTTATGACGTCACCAAAGCACCTCTGGTTGCACTTTTTACACGTTGCTGCATTCATTCTCATTTCATTTCGATATCGTGGTAACTCATTCGCCACTTGAATAGCCACATACACATGGCTCAAACAAAGGCATTCAGTTCAGCGCTCGATCGAAGAATTCATTGGGGAACAAAGAAGGCGGAAAATTCACGAAAAACCAAACCACATGCCCAGCTACGAAATGAAAGCATCATACGAAATATATTTTAATCTTTCCAGCTCTTCCAAATCAAGAAGTCAATGTATGGTTCCTCCTGAGCCGAACCTTTCTGGTTGAGTCAAGGTCAAGTATACAATGGTGTTAACCACTTAATGTTGCACTTTACAAAAGTCATCATTTATCTTTCAATACTTTCTCGTCTCCTCTCCACAGACCCTTTCATATAGGATGGCACGAAGTAAAGGATTCACCTACGTATTACAGTGAATTCGAGAACTTCTGTTCACGATGTTTTTGCGTAAATTAGAGTGGTGCTCGGAACCGAGCTTTTGAATGTTTTCAAATTCGCCATGGATTTTACGCAGAATTTCTTGGTAAGTCGTAAATAAAAATGCTTCACGGAAGGGTAAAGTATTTTCGAAGAATATTCCTCTCATAACATTTATTCCGATAGGACTATTAGTCAAGTTTATACATATCAGCGTCATTAGTTTATACTAGCAAATGTTCTGAAGTATGTCTTCGACACTTCCTGTGTAACATCCGGAGACTTATCGTTATTACCCTCTCAACAGCTCAGACCCAAGTTTAATACCCCGCAAGCATGAAACGACGATTAATGTTTTTTTTGTGGTTTCTAAAACCACATCCCTCACCGTTCGATTAAGTCACTGATAATGGCTAAGTCATGTGCCTATACATTCGCTCGCAACGTGCCTAGATCTGCCAAGAAATGATCTAATTTTAGAGTAAAACACATTTTAGTAGAATTTTTGTCTCTTTTGAGCTGGTCTCACATGTTTTCACTAGCCTAACTTTTGACCAAATACGCAGTGTTTCAGGCATTTGCCACGTGAGTGCACAACAGCTATTTGATCGTCGGTGAGAAACCTACTTGCAAGACATTCCTCACAAAATAACGGCTTGTCATGGGGCCCACATTCAGCCCAATGAAAATCTTGCGATGACGGAAAGAAGTGAGATAATGAGCATCAAACTGTTAATTTGAGGAACGGCGTGGAATGGGTTGAAGTCACGCTCTGCAAACTCGCCTTCCGGTTTAGGGGAAAATTGTGGGCTCGTTCAGTGCCCTTTTGGCTCGATTAGTGCCCATACGGACACTGTTAGACTTTTATTTCATCAACTGAGCTGCCTAAGCCTTAGAATTGGCACTCGCTATTCCGCCCAATGAATATTTACGGAGGCCAGGTCCCGCAAAGCTGAAAAAGCAGACCCTTCACTCCGTTTCCATGGGCTAGTTTTCATACCAAGTTTCATACACATACGTCATCTTCATGTAATGCTCCTTTCGGTTATTGAGCCTAGGAGCACGCCGAGCATGACCACCGGGATGCACAGATTCACAATGCAGTGGGGGCCATAATTAACAATACATCATTGTACATACTAGTTTCAATGCAAACCGTGTTTGTGCACTGTATGTACCGCGATAGGCTAATGGATAGCCGAAATAAAAGCACTGCCTTTCAAGACGCTGCTCTTCTCTATTCCAGCTTTTCCATCGTTCACCAGGATAAATACGACAAAGCAGTTACTGAGGGTAGCGAAGCTTCGATCACTTGTAAAGAATGACGAACTCAGTTTCTCGTGGTGGGCCGAAGCGAACGCCACCTTCTTACCTTAACCTCTGATCCTGTATCAGCTTCATATGTTCCCCGCTAAAGTAAGTTAAACTCCTGATAACCATGCCTCCTTTTGCGTGCCGGTTTAGGCGTCGTCAAGTCTTCCTCGGATGTTGTACACTATTTATAACATTGACTGTAACATTGACTATAAAACTATGATCATGCCAGACGGTATGCCACCCACAAGTTGGGTATAAACATTATTATTATTATTGTCCTTTTTTCGCAAAAAAACTCCCAAATACCCCCATTCGTGTTCAATTCTGATTGTAACCGAAAGATGATGCTTGACGATATGCTACCTACCAGTTGGGAATAAACATTGTTATTATTATTATTAATATTATTGCAGGCGAAGATCAAGCAAAACGCGCGATGTACGGAGGATGACCATATTGCCATCCATTTTAAAGAGGAGGAAGTCAACCTAGCAGCTGCATCTGCTCAACGTTGCTGTCTCTTATTCGACCGCAGGTTAGGTAATGAATCAGACGGAGAAATCTGGGGTGTGACTGGTTTTGTGTGAATGATATTCGTCTATCAAAGAGTATACTACACACATCATACTCGAGTTTTTTAGACACGCAGCGCACGCTAATCTGACGTCGGGCATTTGTGACAAGTGCATATTGGCTTGGGGAAATCAGGCGCCCGCACCATACAACTCCTCAAAGACAAAAATGTGCTTACTCAAGCCAACTGCGCTATAGCATGTGATTGAATGTGCAAGTGCCATATGGTGAAAGATTATCCACCTCCTGGTTGCATTGTGAAAACTAAGCAGAACCATAACTAAAACAGACACGCACACATCAAAGGAAGCTACGATGAAAAAGTGGTTGGATGTGATGCTCCGCGGTGAAGGGGGTTGAAATTATTGAGATTTGGCGCGTTTGAACCTCAATGACGCATTATGACATATCGAATAGCACAATCGCAGCATCCATCCAATTTGAAAGACGTTGTCAATGTATGAAGATGCGACAAACACGATTTTATGCCTCTACACGTTGGAGACCGGAAAATGAAATTTCGTGAGCTGCAAAAGTATAGATGAAGGTCAAGATGGCTTTTTTCGAGCACATACGCAGCAAAATTCAAAATTCTGGCGCAAAAAATTTTAACTGTGCCCTTAAAGGCTTTGCAGCTAAAAGCATTGTGCGGTTAATGGCCACTACATCAAAGCAACTCCAATAGGATTAACTAACTTCCCGCCATTTTCGTCCACGGAACGAAAATGTCCTTGTGCAGCTGGACCATGAAAAGCGTCTATCATCCTACGCTTTGGAATACAAAGGAGGCAATTAACTTGACCTTTCGCTTTGTTTATGTCAACCACAATAGCGCCTACCTGAAGGTGCGCTGTGCAAGCACCGTTTTATGTTATCGCGTGAGCATTTATTTAATTGCATTGAAACTTGGCTCGAAACAGAATGGAAGGCAAAAAGAAGCTGCCAAGAATTCCTCCAGGGTTTCAGGAATTACTGGAATCTTTGAGCTATGATGTGCTTCGTGCTCAGCCGGATGATGTCCTACGATTTTGTATTGAAAATCTTAACAATCGTCTTAGCATTGTGCAAGAGGAAGGTGAGCTATGGTTTTACGAAGATACGCTTTCGAATTTCCAACTACAATGTATAACTGAGATCTTAAGCTCTGTCTGTTCATATGCCTTCTCGGACTACCATTTATTATACTGGGATGAGCGTTATTGTGATTCCTAATTTTATTAGGGAGCAGGTTGGTTTCATCGTACACCCCTTCTCAGCAATTGTGATGTTAAGTGCAGTGGTCTAACGATACATATTTACGTCAGGGATTCTACATGTTTTCGGCTGTTCCAGAGGGTCGCTATCGGACCATTGTTGCTGGAATTTCAGTTTGTTCCCTCTTATTTATGTTGTGCGAAAGATTGAAATAACTTCCGGTATTGAAATAAAACTGAACACTACCGGTAAACGGGTCCGTGGGCTGTATATTCAAGAGGAGAACGTTGCGGCACTTAGTGATGCAGATCTAATATTGACCCACATTCCAAATACCATTCGGCTTCCAAGCCCCTATATTATTTTTCAGGCTTTGTTGTCTTTTATGCATGGAATTTTGGTAAAATCTTCGTACCGCATTGTCTGTTGGATAGTTTTCAAATTTAACAAGCTTAACTTTTCAGAATGTAATTTGTGAAATATCCAGTTCAGAATCCGTAGTTTCTTTAAACGCCTCGTTCTCGTCAACACCGTTTTTCTATCAATAAAATGGTCTCGCCTTTGATGCGCTACTTCATCACCATCAGCTGTGTGAAGCACGTGCTTGTCGTATGGTGGTTATAGCTACCACAGTTTCATTCACCGATGATTTAGGGAGGTGGGGTAGACAGCTGTGTGTTGAAGGTGGTAGCTGATATAATTGAAACATAAATACGGTTTGTCGGTGAACTTTTATTCGAAGGGATTTGGAGCATAGCTTGGTCTCACGAGCGCTATTTAGGGTGCGGTTGGCCTACGTCCAACAATGCAGCTTACCATTGATATGCCAAATCTCCGGGTCCACTCGCTGGGAGATGGTAATAATCAGCACAGTTGAGTTCATTGGTTATGGACTTAACACTCCGTTATGTCACTCCATTATGTCATTTCACCTTTCGCGTGGTTGCGCAAAAAAGAGCTCTTCAATAAAGTCGGTCGATTGCTATACAGAGTGGGTGACCAAGTCAACGCAGCCTGTGGAGTTTAATCAATCCACCTATTGGGGGAAGTTATTTCTTCCCAAAACCATTAGACGTGCTTCAGCAGTACTAATCCCTTGTTTCCACTAAAACCGGGTAACCCTCTAAAAACACCGATGATCAAACATTGAAGGAATTTTGATGTCCTCCATGCGCAGCAGTCAGCTTCTTGACCTGTATAGTAATAAAGAGCGCACCGCCAAATGGCAAACTTGACCTTTGAAAGGTAAGCTGATGTCACACTTACACCACAGGAGATGCAGGTTTACGACGCAGTGGCCCGGCTCGGATTTTTCGGGCATTAGTGGTTGGATTGATGAGAATGCCCTGTATGTCATACTCAACTTCAGCGGAATTGGTCACTCTCGTAGCAAACATACGCGACTTGATCCGGTAACAAGTCACTTCATTGGGGAAAATTGGCAGAAACCAGAGAATTAGGAATAAGGTGGTCTGGAGACAAACTTTGGTGCAATAAACAGCACTGTGTCCAAAGCCTGCACCCGGCAATAAAAGTTGAGTTTGGAGAGCCACTGTGACAAGTGTGAAGAGTCACGGCTTGCTGAAACAAGCGCAATTTTTTGCCTCATTCTAAACGAAGAAAGCTAGAAGTTGGCAAGATGTAATATGGCAGAACAAACTAAATGTTTTTATGAGACAATCACGTGCCGTTGGTGTCGTTTGCTTTCTGGGATGTAGTTTACATGACTCTCCATGTGCTCAGATAGAACGATATGTTGACTGACAAGTATCAGTGTAGTTTATACTGCCAGTCTTCTTAAGATTATCTGAATAAGTGTTGGAGAGTCGGGGACGTCGGGTGTTTGTGGTACGCCATCTTAGAATTTGCTTCCCTGTTCAATTTATCTTCCCTCCGTTACGAGACTTTATTCAAACAAACTGGCAAGGCTGAATGCCAATAAGGCACCAGTGATTCCACCTTGGTAATTCTCTAACAAATGGTGATGGTACTAATTGGCTTTGTATAGTACTACATTTAAACTTTCTTCAATTTTTCAATGGTATCAAGAAGTGGTTATCTATCTCAGCATTATTTTTGTGTCTTCTTATTTGTATATTCCTCTGTCAACGTGACAATTCATTCAGTACCTTGCTTATTTACTTTATTTTTTCCGCCCCTATTTCTTGTCTAATATTCCATAAAACTGAACTGCCAAAGCTTTTTTTTGCTTTGCGCCTTCATTTAGTTACCCCTATACCTCATTTGTTTTGAACAATCACATTAAATCAAGTTTCTTCGTGATAGAAAAGAATGACAAAAACCTAGACTAGTTGCAGCCACAACCCCCAGATGTAGCTGTTATAATTGAAATAAAAAGCCGTTCACAGTTTTACAAAGTGTATGTCTTTAGGTGATCATCTAATTCAACAGTACATTCATACTCTGATAGCGTAAACACGAGATACCGTAAGGGTTCAGCTAGTGGATTAAATAGAACACATTTCCTGTCGTAGAAGAGTTTCTCTGAGAAGATATCATAAATGTAAAAAACGAATTTTGTTACTTCTGGTGTGCACACTAGTTCATGTTGCTGCGGCAAAGAAGGACTGTGAATTATTCTTTGGTAAGGTGAAGAAGCAAGCTGACTCTAGTCCAGAATAAATCTGATGTGATTGTCATAGAAATGGCGTTGAATGACCCTAGCTGGCCTGAAGAATATGAGAACACGACAAACCACCCATTTGTACACCAATTCGGTTTTTGTGTGAGACTCAGCTAAGACCCACCTAAATTTACTGTGTACGATATTCTTTGCCAACGAATGGCGAGTTTGCAGCTATCTTGATGGTATTTCTCTGCTGTGTGAAATGTGAAAATGTGAAAACACCTTAAGATTTGCAGGCAGAAAGCATGATTTGGAATGCCATCAGCAGGTTTCAACACCGATCGATTTTCGCCTCAAAACAGGGTATCAATCAAAAGACGTGGTACAAGAGTTAAAAGATCGACGGTAACGTCGTATAATGTCATTTTTATGTGCTGAATAGTCCCATAGAGTGGTTGGTTTATCATACAATGCCCTCAGAAGTAGGATGAAAGATAGAGATTGAGGCGTTGTCTGGAATATGAGGATAACAAAATATAAGAGAAATATTTTGAACGAGTGTAACAATTGATTGAACCAGAGTCGTGGAAGACCACTTTTATTCTGAAGCACATTAGTTCCGAAATGTTACATTTGTAGCTTCATGCATCATGAAATCCTTAGTGACCCGTAAGGAACAAAGCGATGAAAAGCTAAAACACAAATACTTGAGGATATGTGGATCCACGAATGTATCATGTGGCTAGTGCATCTGAGTAGGACTTAAAGAACTGGGAAGGCAAGAAAGACCGTTAATATACGCGTCCACACCCCCAAAGTATTGAACCTGTTTTTAGAATGACTTTTTTAACTGTAAACCGGCTAAATGCACGAAAGGCTTGTGGGCTCCCTTTAAACATCAGGAGACACGGTTTGTAGATTTGGTAAACTGCAAACAAATATGTCTTTGCACACGCCTTACTACACTTTAAAAAGCACCGCAAAACCAATAGCAATACTGTCACTCAAGAACCACTCAATCAGTGCAACTTTCTGACAGATTACCATAAAGAATTGTACTCGGTGTACTGTATTTTGGAATATATGTCAACTTCGTGCACCCTATATTACCGCACCATGCTCCCTTTTCGCTGATGACCTTAAGGTATGGAATGTTGTGGAGGAAACAAACGGGTTTTACAAGCCAAGCTGGGTGGGCTGAGCAGTTGATGAGGAAGACACATACCGCCTCTTGACTTCCCCTGTCTAGGCTTGGATAACCTAGCATTATCCCAACCCTCGTGCATCCTTCGAGTACCATGACAGCTAGGCACCGGAAGAGTGCTACAGCTGAACGATTTATTGTTTATTCATACATAACGACCATATGCACAACGAATCGAGTGGCTCAATGAGCGGGTAATGGGGTTGAGACGCACAGCACTGTATGTGAGCCAAAAACCATGATACACGCCACACATCACCTTGGCCTCCTTATCCAAGAAATCTCTAATCATCAACTCGTGCGAAGTTAGCACGAGATAAAGGACTTAAGGCTTTTGAATGAATGTCACTGTAATGCGGAAAGCTAAACTCTACGTTCATTGGATCGGTTGTTAAATATTGAAAGCCGGCAAATTAGCGAACAAAGTCTGGTACAAGTACGACAGTTTAGGATACGAATGGTCGAAGGGGTGACGGAGAAATACTACAAACGCCAAGTCCAGGACTGCCATACCCTAGTTTAGGGGTGCTCCAAGTGGGATCTGACCATTCCTAAGATAGAATTATAAGATATTTACCCAGGCCTTTCCCGTTTGTTTTCCATAGCACGCGTCACGCATATAAGGACACACGAGCAAATTGACGAAGTATGGTGGAAAAAAGGCTCCCGGATGCATGATATGTAGCCACGGACTGCAAAAAATGACCGGTGCAGATAAATCAGGCTTGCTCTCCGAACTGGGCAGCTAACAGCTCCAAAAGTCCAAGTTCCGCAAAAATGTCACTTTCTGCTACCCTGCCCGTTATTATAGAAATTTTGCTGTAGCGCTGCAATGACATAGTCAGATGAATTTGGATCTAGTGGTCCTAACGGAAACCTGATTTACTCTTGACATTCACAACCCAGATACAACCCCCAGGAATATATCAACCTCCTGGCGAATCAGTTAGACAGCAATTGGTAGAGCAGTCCTCTACTACCGAGACATCTAAAAACAAGACGACCTCTGAACTTAAAGCCACACTCATGTGCCATCTGTTAATAGCTTTAAACTAAAATTGCGAAGTGGCAGTCATTTATTGTCCCGTTTTTGGCGTGGTGGCCAACGACTGAAGGATTAAATTGGTACTCCAGATCACCACAACAATTAATCGCCTAACCTCTGTAAGACATCTACCATCCCCTTCTGGATCCCTTTTCAACCAGTAAGGAACTGGTGACTGCAAATATCACTCATCAGCTAACTAAGTAACACAAAAATCATTTGATTTTGCCACATAACTCACGCAAATATGGTGATGCTTAGTGTTTTTGCACGAAGAAAGCAGCCACACTGCGAAGCCTAGAAAGTTTAATGCGTGCTAATACACTGGACTTCTTTGCAAACTTTCCTGCGAAAGGGGAATTGCGCAGCATCACAATCTGTCTGGAGATAAAAACAAACCATCATTTCAGACCAAAGCCATCCACGTCAATAAAAAATCATCCAAGGCATAAAGCGGTGTATGAAAACAGAATCAGACGATACCCGAAAATAACAAAAATTCTTTCCTGATGAGTGAAGCCAGACAAATTGCACCTCCTCACGGAACCGATGAAGATAAGTGAATTTACCAAAACTCGTTGTTGCTCGATTTGGAAGCTCCAAAAGCTCCTCTACAAGTGCGAAAACAGACGGCGTAAGCTAAAGCAAGGTGGTTCTCCATCACAAAAAAAGACAGTCAAGAAGAATGAAATTAGCAGCCAACTCCCTAAATGAACAACATACTTTAATATCCATTTCCATATCCATGAGTATTACAACGACATATAATCCCGTTTTTAACCCACTGGGAGAGACCTTAAACACACGACAACCGCGTCGGAAATGACACTCGAGATCAAAACTCTATCACGGAATGTTGCATCTAGCATCAACGACAGCTCAAAAGCCACCTTCCTCCTGGCAGATAGTATTGCTGAACTGCGTCTGTTAACTTCACAAAAGACAAACCTAGCCGAAAGTTAATTCCAAAACGAATACAACTGAAGTGCCTAGGAAAGCGCACCTACTTACCACTGAACTCTTTAAGTAATATGCAAGAAGTGCTGT